GAAGGAAGGAAGGAAGGAAGGAAGGAAGGAAGGAAGGAAACATTCTAGTGTTGTTTCTAGCTTAATCTTTATTGCCCTGATTACAGAAACCGCCTCTCCGGTTAACCCTTATTACATTTTAACAGCTAAGGCGAAGCGTCCATCGATGTGAGTGATGTTGAGTGGGCCATGCCCACCCAATCACATGACCACTGAGCCATGCCTACCCAGCTGGTCTTTAGGGCAGAGAACCGGTTGTTAAATTATTTGAACCCCACCACTGCATACAAGGATGCAACAAAAGAAAAGTGAGACTGAGATAAACCAGTTCCCTTTTTTGTTAACTTTTATATCCCCCAGTTCTGGTGTCAGCAAAGATCAAAGGCGAGGTTCATTGGAGCCCTGTGGAGTTGCTAGGTTCTCATTGGATTTATCAATTAAATAAGAATACATTGCTTTCATGGCTAGAAAGAAAAAGCTTTGCCATGCATTTAGTCCCATTTAGAGCCTTGTAATAATACAGCAATAGCAAGAGCACTTAAGAGTTATACCACTTCATAGCCCTCTCTGAGCGGTTTACAAAGTTAGCATATTGCCCCCAACAATCAGGGTCTTCATTTTATCAACCGTGGAGGGCTGAAAGGCTGAATGAGTCCTGTCAGGAGAAGGTATAGTACCATTTATATGTATGCTAAAGTCAACCTAACAAAATAAGGATAAAGCTGAACTCAAGTAATGCTATGGAATTTTTCTAAATAAAAGGTGGCAGAACAAGGCTTTCCAACAAATAAACACTACATGTAGAAATAAGGATGGATGTGAGAAAGGCTGGATGGCAGCTCAGATTTTGTCTCCAAAAGATTTATTGTTGATGTTTACAAAAGCATGGATGCAGCTGTTTGTCTGTCTTAAAGCAGGTGTAATTTTTTTTTCCTTGTGCTGCTGTAATGCTTCCTAATTTCCTGGTCGATTTTGGTGTCATAGCTCTACAGTATCTTAACTGTGATGGCACTTAACTATTTCTGAAACACTTCTGCCTCATACATGTTTGCAAAGTCTTTACAGTACTCCCAATTCATTTGTCAAGAAAAAAAAAGGTTATTTTGCACATGTTCTGTGCATTGGCTAGTCAAATGGCCTCTCATAGAAACTATGAATTAATAATACATCCTTTCCTACCGCCATGCTGTGGAAACTATGAATCTGAAAGCATATGCTATCGCGTGCTATAGCTCAAGTCAGTTAGCCAATAGTCGCTACTGTAACTATCATTTTTACTTTTTATTAACATCACAAAATGTAATATATACTGAAAGAGCATAAGATGGAGAGAAAACATAATTCAAACAATGTACCTTATCCATCATAGCGCAGCAATACTATAGATATTACCAGCTGGTTTCCATTTCCAAGGGTTTTTTTTTTTGTTTGCCAGTCCAATTCCTATTAGCATCTTTCCTTATTTTCATGGACCAATCCTCTGCCCCCTTACCAGATGTGTAAATTTTCATACTGTTTGTGTGGAAGGGAGTAATAACTAAGTTTTATAAAGGTTATACCAATCAATTCCCAGACCTCCAAATCTGAGTTTCTATCTTGTTACAAAAATGATGACATTTTAGTGGTCTTGTTACTGTTTTCAATCTAACACATTCTACTCATTTAAAAAAAACCCAGCTTAACCATTCACATAACTTATATAAGTAGAAGCTTAAGAAGGCATGGACATGGCTCAAATACCCAGGAAAAGTTAAATATACTCAGATTTTTGGAATAGTCACCGATGTCGAGAC